GTGTGTGTGTGTGTGTGTGTGTGTGTGTGTGTGTGTGTGTGTGTCTGTCTGTGTTTGGTCACATGCACAGGTGAGAAATGGAGCCAGCCAGTGTGGTCTATGACTGAGTCTGTGACACAGCTCCTGCTTCAAAGTAACTTATACAGCCTAAGGCTATTAGTATGTATAGGATTCCATGTAGTGTGTGATGATGCATGGGCAGCATGGTAATTGGGTTTCTGCTGGGCTACAGGGTGCCTATTTGTTCTGCATTGATTTACCACAAATACTGCAGAGATACAAATCCTATGTGTATTTTTTAACTAATGCTTAGAAGTGTTGTAAAATTTCACTCCAGGGGGTTATTTTTATTGTTTCCCTCATGTACTAAAGTTTTTTGTTTAGCCTTATWGTGTCATTATTGTTTATTTTCCAATAATTCTCCCAGACAGCCTCCATAGGCATTGTGTGTGTACTGTATTGTTGGTGYATATGAGAGTGTTTACCTGCATTTCTGTGAGCTTTCCTGACATGGGTATTTGCCAGGGCTGAGGATGGCCAGACTGCAGCTTTGTGAGAATTTAATAGTTTTCATTTCACAGCCTGTTTGACCTTCTCCAAGCCTTTCATTAAGTATGCATTGCTCCTGAAGTCTCACATGGCCAGATACAGCCACAGCCCTCTTTTAGTATAATCTTTTTTTCTCAGCTCTGTTTGGCCCTGCAACCTGTGCCACATGGATACTCWACTGGTGAGGGATACCAGTAGAATTTGGTTGTGTAAAAAGTATCAGTAAAGTATAAAATACATAAAAGTTGAGACCTTTGCAGTGCTTCTGGTTCTGAGTAACTGTTTGTTTTTATGAGAATTTAATTGCTTTTATCTGTTTTTGGTGCATTGTTTTCATTAAAGAGCTTAATAGCTTTAATGTTCTCTTTTAAATCATCATCGCTTTTTTGAATTCGTCATTCATGGTTGATTTAGGATATTTTTGCTCCCTTCAAATATACCACACAATAGTATAATTTTGTCGGTGTAAAAACTAAAAACATACTGATGGATATTTTGTAATGACATTATTTACAGAACTATATAGTTCGAAATTGCTGTGACAGACTAATCAGCAACAGTTGCCAAGGCTAGCAATTCTCTGCCATCTCTTCAGTCTCTCACCAATTATACCACCTTATCAAAGGCTGCGAGAAACAAGAGTGCAGATTAGTTTCCATTCAGAGCCGATCTAATCCTTTCAGCTCGCTTTCTCACAGTGTGTCATTGCCAGTCAAACCGTTCTGTACAACAGCGGCGTTTACTAACCACGTGAAGATTTGGTGGACGTCTAATTTTCTGCAAAAASGATAGCCATGATTAGGCTTTTTATGACTGTCATTTACAATCTGAATTGCTTTGATCTACAAAGTTTGTTAAACTTTTTTTATGAAATGTTTGCAACGAGTGAGACTGTTCACACTTATGATACATGCAAATGATGCATTTTATTTATTCTAAGTCATGGTTTGTATAGATATTAACTGAAAATGATTATCAATAAGCCTGTTAAACTGGGTTCTGCGCTCTCTTCAAACTTCTTCAATTGAACTTATACCTTAATCTCAATTCAGGAGTATTCTTACTGTAGTCCACCACCCTACATTCTCTCCTTGCAGTTGTCTTTCTGTAATGAATGAGAAACCCAGCAATTATGTATTTCCCCTAGGAAGATCCTGTAATTAAAAAAAAGAGGCATTTCCTTCCATTACAGGGTCACAGACCATGCCTTATTGGAAAGGTTTGTCATTAGGCCTTTTTTGGTATTTTTTTTTAATTTTTTAATTATCTTGTGCTGGAAGACTGTGACCTTCTGACTCTATAAGATGAAAGTTACTGTGCCTGCAGGGTCAGCAGAACTGCAGTAGATTCACAAATAGTATGCCGTAAGACTGAAGTAGAAGTGTATGTCAAAGTTATTGATACTAATGGTTAAAACACTTTGTGTTGGTTTGCTTATAGGGGAAAAATATGCTGGACCTTTTATTCACTAAACTATTTGTTGTAGTTATTTATTTTAGGACATTTTTTCTTAACATAAGAAGGTGTTGAGACTAATATGTTTTTCTTATCAAACAAATTGTGAATGCTTTGTTTGCAGATGTGAACAATACAAACACTATAATGATTTATTAGGAACTCAAATGCATTAATAGGTCCCAGACCAGCTCTAGTTGCACCCCCGCCTTTCCACTAGCACTGTCTCATTAGGTCATAATGTCTTGTAGCTGTATTAAGATATACTGGAAATATCTGCAAGTGATAAAACTTGTGAGCAGCAGATCTTGACAAAGTAATTAAGATCCATAAACACCAAGTCCCATGCATGAAAACCTCTAATAGAACCAAAATTATATTTGCTGCAATCCAAACATGAACAAGTCGTAGCAGGCTGTCTTGTTCACTCTGCTTCTGTTTAGTACACTTGTTTTCCTACAACATCGGCTCTTAGTTGTTTATGGCTGCTAGCATTTTGTGGAGATGATGTCATAAACCTGACTCATACAGCTCAGCAAGGCCTGAAGACGTTTTATCAGCTTTGAGCACACGTCTTGTAAATCAAAGGATTATCTGGGCTTTCTGTCATGTCTGCCCTGTAACTCATGACAGGGTTTAAAACAAAAAAAGTATATAAATAAATAAAAAATACTCTGAACAAGTGTAAACTGTTAAGTCACAATTGAAAAATGGTTTATTGAACTTGTTGAGAAGGAGTCTGCAATGAAATGCATCATAAAAACACATTTTATTTACATAAAGTAATAATTAAATCACACACATTGATAAATCACAGATGCAAAGCTAGTAATTTTGATTGATAGATTTTTTTCTAGAATTCACTTCATAGTGACACTGAAGTGCAAACACATTTTTTTTCTCTCCGTCCTCCTAAATGCTCAGAAGGAATTAAGCGGTTGATCCGTAAACAGATTTAATTGATGTTAGTGGATTTGAACATCTTTTTTCATGGTGTCAGTCCCACCTATAGCAACGTTCTTCAAAATACTTGTTGATTTTCAAAACGTGAGGCTCATTGTGCGTAATTGCTGGAGGAAATGAGCATTTGTGAATTTTCTATGCGGCTTGTTTGCCTGGAGGCTTTTCTTGTGATGTGGTCCCATTAAATCWGCACTAGAAAAGAAGGCACAGACATCAGTGATAGGAGCACAAAGAAACCTGAAGCGATTAAACCCCTACTCTAACCGGCTTAGTAGGAGAAGCTTCACATAGAGCCAACAATAGCTGTATTCCTTTAAACCTTGTCTTTTTTGCTCTCTCTCTCCTTTCCCCAGTCTATCCCGCACTTATTCCTCCTTTTCCTGTTCTTTACCTCTCTCAAACAGATTATGTCTTTTCGGTTTCTTTATGTCTGTCTTCTTTGCAGCATGTTAGGCCGCTTAACTGTACAATGCTTTTGTCAAATCAAAACCCACCCTCCATTTTTCTAATTTAGGTTTWAAAAAAAGCCTTTTTTGTGAAAGGTTTTCACTGTATCTCATATGTCAACCACCTTGAAAGTCTTTTATTTCAGTCATTCATTATGACCCCTTTCATTATTTTCAGTCTTTTATTTTCTCTAAAGTAGTTTTAGGGGCTCACTGTGAATTTGCCAGATTGTTAATTGCACGACACGTTTCTTTTCTAAATCAGAAGGGGATTAAAGTTGAATACGTTTATAAGAAAGGATTAGGAACAAGAATGTGGTGTTGTGAGTGTGGAGAAACTGGTTTCTCACAAAGCAAACAGATAAAAAACTAAACCTATGAAGACACTTCCATTGTAACGATCCACGGGAAAACTTTCTTCAACAAATGATTTAGGTAGGAATGRATGGAAAATATTTAAATTATTTAAGTCTTCCTTCTGTTGCATGAACCTGCAGTTGAGCAAGGGATAGAACTGGGAAACAAGCAAAAGTAAATTCCTTCTAAAGCAAAAGGCTCAGGCCCTCCTTCTTCTCAAACCGCTGTTACAAACTGGATTAGACTTCCTGATCTGTAGTCTGGTTTTAAGAGTGGTAGTAATTTATCCTACCCCCCACCAGCATCCACCTTTCCACCTGGATTTGGCATTGCCCATGAATGCCAGTCATTAAGATGTCTGCACAAAACCTATGACTACCTGCTTTCCCAAAGGGCTGGCTCTGCTTCCACACATAGAGCAGCTTTTGTTTTAAATGCAACTGCTCCCACCATTGTAGTGGCCAGGCTTTCATTGTGGCTGGTTTGTTGCCAGAGAGAGGAAATATGATAAATGTTTCTAATGCCACCTGTTTGAGAACGCTGGGACATTCCTTGTTCCCCAGATGCCAACAGGTAGAAAAGACTAAGCCGCGATCAGGTTACTGTGTGCATGCGGATGTGTGTATTTGTCAACCATGAATAACACGCTCTCCTTTCTTCTTCTTCTTCTTCTTCTTCTTTTTTCTACTTCTTTCAGGTGCACCAGAAAGGAGAAATGTGAGCGCTCGTCAGAACCCCGGCGCTTCGCTTCAGACATCAAGCAGTGTGTGCGTCTCAGTGTCCACCCCAACAACATATCAGTTTCTCAGTTTAGCGTCACGGTGAGTGGATAAAAATAAATACATCTATTATTTCCTCTGAAGGAGAAACCAATGACAAATGTTCCATCACATTAATATGTATGCGTTCTTAATAAAACACAGTAGACAAGCCTTTTCTTTTAAATATTTTAAATAACAGTATTAAGCATTAATTAACAGTTTTTGTGGCACATGGAAAAATACAATGTATTTGTTCTTTGGTTAGAAAAACATATCTAGCGAGCAAATAAGTGTTTGTTTCAGTGGTGCCACATTTTAGTAAATTGTGATGATAGCTGAATATGTTGCAAGTGAGAAAATCTTGTCTGGCAGATTGACAGCATCACACACTCAACCATAATTTGTAATACAATGTAATTAAGCTCTAAGTACTATTGAGTAGATGTGTTAAATTTTTTGGTCCTGCTTCATATCGTCTTAGCGCCTGCCAACACCCATCCTTCATTTCCTGACCTAACAACTTTTAGCTCTAACTCATGAAAATTCTCTCCAAACAAATGTCAACAATCATTAACAGCATGCAGTTCAGCTCAGCTATGTTTTTATGAGTTTTGGCAGCTAAATAAAAACACTCTCACCCCGTGGACATTTTACTCTGAAACAGCTGCCAACATTTGAGCATTTTTTATGTTTGTGTTTTACTGTGCATGCGTATTGATTAGTACACAAGGAGATGTGACCCCTTGGAACAAATATGTCTCTGCAGGAATTGTTACAACACAAATTCCAGCTTTTACAAAAATACATACATCGCTAGGACCAAAATATATTCCTGCATTAATCTAAACAAATTGCTGTTTGCAACAACATATTCAGTGTTTTCACCTGTCACCCAGCTTTAAGATTTAATGCAAAGATTTACCTAAATAAATGACTGTAGAAGTTCGCAAGTGTCTGCAATTTGCAACATATTTGCATTACCTGAATACATGAGGTTATTCTATTTCAAGGTTTTATGTTTCCTTTTATCATATTGCAGTGTGTTAAAAGATAAACCGTTTCAAAGGTAGCACTAAATGTTGTGAATTTGACTTTAACTAGCAGACGTGTCACCTTTCATTTTCCATTTGCTTGGAAGTTATCCTTCGGAAATGCTTCTGAATTTTATAGACCAATAGTATTTTTTATAATTTTCTCAAGCCAGCTCAGAATGACTCACTCCATCTGTGTTTCTCAGAGGGCCAAACGTGAACTGCTGATTGTCAGCGATACTGTTCAGCATCGCCTATTGATATTCATAGGCATTTGTGTGCGACATTGCTGAGTGTTTAACCTTTTTACACACACTTGCCATCATCTCTACCAAACAGGCARCAGCCATTTCTTGACCTTTATGTTAATAAATATTTCTTTGGACCAGATCTAGCTGAGAAATACGTCAGAACTGCATGGACCCATCACTCTTAGTCTGACCTATTTTAAAAAACTTCCTCTTTTAAAAAAAGCAAGATATGAAGAAAGTGAGAATTGGAGTATCTGAGAGCATCCACAGTCTGTTTCTTGTGAGATGTTGTGTAGATGTTCACTCTGCTGCTGCTTTCTTTTCATTAAAAAGCAATATAAAAACAGTGCTGGTCAGCCCTTCTCTGCCCGCTGAGGCAGCTTTTAGTGCCACATCACAAGAATACGACTAGCTACAACTTAAATCAGTGTTTAGACCATTGCCTCTCTTCAGCTTCAGACAGCGTTTTCCATTAATATGTATATTTTGGTCTTGACCCTGCTCCACCTTCCTCAATAATCACCTCTTCTTTTATTCAAGGACAGTTTCCATTCTCCTCTTTTACTTCACCTGAGGCCATTCTTCCCAAGCTGCTGAAAAAGCTAACACAGCATTTTTAAATAAAGCATTTCTTATTTTGTGGAGAGTRTGCTGTTCTTTGGCTATCTGGTGTATTTTTAAGCAGTTATCTAAAGTGGTCTTTTTCCCTCTAAGCAGCATGAATGGTCATAAAGTTAAAGGAAAACACAAGGGTTAATTGTTCTTATTAAGAAAATAATATCTTATCTTATTATGTTATTAGGACATATGTCCTATGTTCAAGCGTTTTTGTTTTAACCGTCTATATTCATTTGGCTTTTTCCAGTTTTTGCTCACATCAAGGTACTTTATTCTCCACACCTTGCCAAAAACTGAAAACACTGAAGTAAATAACAAAAAAATCACACAGAGTGTTATATGAGGTAGTTTGTGGCCATTATTTATGATTGTAGTGGATGCTTCACATTTTTTTGGATATCTGAGCACAAGGTCTAGGTGATAGCTCATTCAGACATTCCAGACTGACTAATCTGCAGGTGACTATTTACTCTGCTTTGAACGTGCAACTGTCCGCCTGAAGTATTGTGTTACAGTTTTAGAAGCATATTGACTCAAACTGATATGATTGCCTCATAGATATGTTCATCACCACAACCATAACAACTAAACTGCAAAGCTTACCTATTTGTCAGCCTGGCTAAACTCTATGTGCACCTCAAACTTCATCCCTATTTTTTTCAGTTTTAAAGTAAATTTTGTACTTAGTCAATAAAAAAGTCTTGTCTTTTTTCCTATATGCATTTTACTCGACTGATTGTTGTTAGTATTAAAAATGTATCATGCACAGAAAAATGATTCCTAACACGACTTCTATGTATTATTTTTTTTTTCAACAGTTGGTGCTTGAAGCTCATAATGTCCCAGAACTTTCAGCAGGTGTTAACTGCACCTTTGAGGATCTGGCTGAGATGCACGGCCTGGTGGAGGGAAACCGGATCAAATGCTCCTCCCCTGCTGAAAAGGAAATGCCACGAATTATTGTGGACAAAGGTAAGAGGTAGAAAATTAACCAACTGTCATGAAGACAGTATTATTTCATGCATGCATAATGAACATGCAGATTATGTAATATGCAAAATAGTATTTTAATTCCCAGGTGATTGGCAGAGTTATTGACATCTATCAAACCCAGTGTTATAACATGACTGGATTTTTTTCTTGTTTCCTAAAGACAAAACCTTCAGGAAAAAGCTTTAAAAAACTAAAAAATACTTTTAAAARCATAAAATGGTTCTGAGCAATATTTATACAGACTTTCTGAAAGTCTTTCAAATATAACAAAAAAGTCAGAGTTATTTTTTAAAATCAAAATATAAAAAAATTACAGGTGGTTGTAAACATTTCTGCAGTAATAAAAATAACACAAAACATATTTATAATATCATCTGAAACATTGAGTACTAACATGCCTGTCACACACAGTCATTTCCATGTTTTCTCTTGATAGTCCTGGGGCAATACGATCTCTGTGAATTTCCTCACTGTCATCAGCAGCTCAACACGCCTTGAAGCGGTGCCTCAGGACATGTTTAGTAACTAAATGAGCATTAGTTATTAGTCTGCGGTGGAACTTATTTACCTTCCTCACATGGATGTGCTCCAGAGGGAGTGATACAATCCTGGTTACCCACAGTGCAAAAAAACAAATGCTTAGTGATCACAAAGTTTTTACAGAAACAGATAGTTCTGACAATAGTCATGCATTTTCTCTCACTAGAGTAGGCCAAGCTGGTTTAATTGAAAAAAAAATTAACATATCCTGAGTCTGCATTATAAATGCATGATAATGCAATTTTTTCATAGTTTAAACAGAAACTGTGACAATTTTGAAGTTGTTTTTCAATATTCTACTGAAAGCAAACAATAAGTAGAGAACAGCAATCAAGTTCAGTTTTTATTAGAGATGTTTAAGATCTYAGTTGTGCAAATGTAAATAGTTATGTTTCCTTTATTTATTTATTGAACCAACAAATGGAGAAATGACTCATAGCTGCTCCTATGAGTGAATGTGAAAAAGTTAGTCACCACTGATGATACACAGTTGATGAGAATACTAAATGTGCTTTGGGGATTTATAAATATTGGTTTATTTGTTTGCAGTGTCAGCCACATATAAGTCTGGTAATGCTGCTGTCGTGCAAACAGAAATGTTTAAATAGTGTCTGTAAATCAAACATACACATATAAAACCTTGCTGCCCACATTTCCAAGCATATATGGTTTCCTGATTTAGGCAAACACATTATGTTTGAAGCTTTCATGTTCCAGTTTCTACCAGTACTCATTATTCCAAGCTTGGTTTCAAGAGAGAAAAGGGCACACAGCAGATGGAGTGAGGAGAGAGGGAGGCATGGATAGCGTTAGCAGGCTTCAAGGTAACATTTAAGTGGCCTAATTAGGACAGATCCGTTGTCAGCAGTGCTTTACTCTGATTGATGAATGATTCCTTCTTTGTTAGAAAGATGGAGGGAGACACAAGGGAGAAGGAGTCACAGTGTGGAAAGAAAGGAAGAGACCTGTGAGTAAAGATAGTGGGAATGAGAGGGAGAGCTATAGAGGCAGTGTAGAAAAAGAGCAGGTAGATATGTGGATGTGTTTCTGAATTAAACATGAACTCCTTCATTAGAGCCAGACAAAAGGACACACCAAATACAGACGAGGCGTGCGCTCGTGTGCACATACGCTTATATAAACACACACGTTTGATATGTCATGTTCTCCTTTTACCTTGTCAAACATACTTTCAAAGACATTTCACTGGGCGTGCTGTCCATCCCGAGGGAAATTTGTGTGCACCAACTTTTACTTCTCACTGCATGAATAAGGAAATACACTCCTTTAAAGACATTTCCTCTAGGAATGCAACATGAGGATCACCTGTTACTTTGTGTTTCTAGTACAGTATTTAGGTTTTTGAGCAAGTAAATGGAATAAACAGCATAAATGCTAAAACAAAAAATTGTTCAAAACAGTAATTGTTTAAGAATTGTGCTTTRTGAAAATGAAAATATTTTTGTCTGTGAATCCAAGGTTTAATTTTGTCTATTCTTATTTTCTTTTAGGTGACCACCAAATTGTGCAGCTTTACCTTAAATCTAAGGAGACGGGCCTGGCTTTTGCAAATACCAGTTTTGTTTTCTACAACTGCAGTGTGCATAAGTCGTAAGTCCAGTCTACTAATAACATCCAAATGCACTTCAGTCACCCTTTATAACATTGTTTGATTTATTTTTTTATGTAACAACAACTCCTCTTTTTCATCCAGCTTTCATTTGGATGAAACACAATAAGATAATTAAGACTTTTTTAGTTTTCTGGTTCAATAGTAATTCCAAATAATCTGTTCTGTTTCAGGTGCCTGTCCTGCGTGAGCAGTCCCTACCAGTGCCACTGGTGTAAATACAGACATGACTGCACCCACGACCCCCGCACCTGTTCCTTCCAGGAGGGTCGAGTCAAGAAACCTGAGGTGAGTCTCAAAACCTTCACTCTTTTTAGTCTTCTTGTTTAGATAACAAATCTTATCGAATACCAAATKAGCAGTAACAAAAAGGCCAGCGAACATGACAGATGTTTTGTAAAACATTTTGCTTCTGACGTATTTTGGTGCTGTTTATAAGGATTCTGGTTTTCTGCTATACATGCTGCCAAACTATACCACATAATCCTTGCTGCTTTGTGTGCTGTGAGTCATCAAAGTCAAAACATGTGGTGAAATAAATGAAGGAAAACGTTTGCTTAAGTGAGACTAATATCTATCTTTTGAGATTTCCCATGCAAAAAGTGTTAAAAGGACTGAGGCACCTTTTAGCAGTAGTGCTTCCATCTGGCATGAGTCTTTTGGCATGTCTCACTTTTGAGAGCACATCAAAGGGCAGTGGAAGCTAATAAAACTGAGTCATTTCCACATGCCCATTCYTATTCCCCACAACAGCTTACTCTTTGTGAATTATCAATAATATTGGCAGGCAGTCTTTTCCCGTCGAAGCTGAGCTCACTGTAATTAGGCTTCTTTGCTGCAGAGGACAACTGGATGGGGTACTTTCAGTGAGTGGCCTCCAGCTCAGCCACTCCTCAACATATGAAAAGATTTCACTCTGCTTAGAGTCACTGCAGGAGACTTTATAGAAAAGCAAAAAGGTCAAGGAAGTTTAAGGTTTATGTCTGGGATTTAGACTTGTATTTGCAGTGTTTACAAGTAAACTATATATTTTTGTACATGTAGAGAATATTTGTGTTTRGGGTTATCTTCAGTGTTTGCTTGTTTGTATTTTGCCAATTCCCAGTGGCTTTCAAAGGGAGGGTTTTACATGGAGTTAGTGGTCTGTTAATCCTAGCCTGAGGTGAGCTATGATGAAGATCACTAGTACTCATGTCTGAGTTGGCAGACGCCACTCGATGAGCAGGGACAAGCTTAGCCAGATTGCTTCCTTTGATGAGCAGTCTGCTCTCAATTGTATTATTCCACCCATTTTTTCCCCCAAGCTATTCAACCTGCACGGACAATATTATTTTCTTTTTCTGTCGTTTCCATTATCCTTTTGAACCGTCTGCTTAGCTGGGCCCAAACAGGAGTCTTTGCAGGTTTGTTTCTAATTAGCCAGGCGCTGGTGGTCAATATTGACTCAGGTTAATAATGTGTGAATCCTCTCCTATTGTGCTGCACGCCAAAAGAACGCCATAAATATAAAGAAAAGGAGGATTTTAAAAAGCAGGTGTTGTGCTGGCTTAATGAGTTTTAATTTGCCTTTAATTAACCCTTCAAATCCAGGGTGATGTATCTGCTGCCAGATTTTTGGATGTTGTTTTGAATTAATAGCTGAGACAGACACACGGCTTAAGAACATGTGCACACACCACACACACCATCCAGAGAATTGCCCCCAAATTTAACAAAAGAGGACAAGTAATGAGATGGCTTTTTCTGCTGATGATGAATTTTTGTGTACTATTACAATTAAGGGATTTTAGGCAGTGATCTCAATAATCCCTTAACTCTATGTTAACTCCCTACTGGTTGAGCTTGTTGTTAGTATGCATCTCATGATGGAGTTAAAGCCGGGGCCGGGTGTTTTATTCATGCCAGTAAAGAAATGGGCACAGGGAWCAGACAGTTGCCTGTTGGCACTTTAACCAAGACCATGTCCGTCTCTGCCCCCATATATCTCAAGGACTTAGAGCCTCACCAACAAAGACCATGCATCCAGGCTTTTCTTATAATGAAGAAAGATCCAGCATTAATTCCTCACTATTTTAGTCACTATTATTATAATAATAATATATTCTTGTTTATCTGCTTCCCTGTGTTTATTTTCCTGCATTGATTGTTTTTTTTTTCAACTTCATCTCCTATCCTTAAAACACACACATGGTCTCACCATGAGAAAGTGATGAAACTGAGTACACTTCCTGTTCTCCTTGTCTGATGGAAACCACAGGAGAATATTTCTCTTTCTTCTTCTGCTGTCTACAACTCAGCATGTTCATATCCTGAGCTGCTGCCAAATCTTACACTAATATATTCAGCTGGTAGGAGACAAAAAACACAAAAATATTAATGTCACTCACTACAYATCACTGTGTCCTGGTTCATACTGCACATCCTCATCTCAGCATTATTTACTTCCTTGCTGTATTATGGTGATCAATGTCATGGAGTTTATTTACCAGGAACTTATTGATCAAGTGATCAGGATAATTTTATTAAAGAAGCTAAATGCCAACGGTAATAGCCATTAGCTGCTRTTATTAGATGGGAATGGTAGAGAGAAGTGCTTGTTTTGAATCATGGACAATCAATGTCATATGCTGGTTCAGACTGTTGACAAATTATTATTATTATGGCACACAGCAATAGAGGCAAATTAATTTAAATAAAGTCACTACAAGATAGAAAATGAAAACTAAAAGCATCACTGCACTTTTAACAAACTATATTTGATTTGTTAGCTTTATAACTAAAATAAATTGAAAAAGTTGTGATATTTTGGAGATTTTAAATAAAGGAGGACATAGTAAAGAGGGAGGGACCACGTGTAGAGTTATTTAGAAAAAATGAGGGTAAGGAATGACTGGTGGTGGGGAGAAGAARCATCTGCAGCGGGTTGAGCGGGTTAACAGAAAGCAGAAAAGTGTTTTTACCCTAGGCTCTGTCGGATATGATAAAACAGACTGGGAATCTTTTGGTAACCACAGGGTGTGTGAGTACGTGTATAAAAACTTAAGATCCTCTTCATCTTCACACCTTACGCTGCTATAATTATGGGCCTTTTTCTCTCGTTCTTGCCATCGCCCTCCCTCCCTCCTTAGCTTCAAACTATGCCAAGGGCTTTTACATTCACAGCTCCCAATGTGCTTCCTACTCTGTCACTTTCCTTTTCTCCACCCTTCACACCTCCCACCAGCCTCTAATTATCAGATCTAAGTAGGTCCCCAAGAAGAAAAGAAGTCAGGAAAGAGTAGGAAGAAGAGTCTGTGAAGAGGGTTGACAAGAAAAATGAGAAGGGTCAGCGAGCTGCATATATGTGATGAACCAAACCGGCTACTTTTGAGAGTGTGTAAATGAGGAGAAAAACAAGGAGCCGGGAACAAGGAAAAAAAGGATAATTATCCTGAAAAAGAGAGGCGCTAACTTTTTTCAAAGTCAGGGATTATGCTGCGGTTATGATGAGTCATGCTATTCACAGGTACTTTTCTCTTTCTTGCTCTCCAGTGCAAGTCCTTGATTACAGCCCTGTCATTGACAGTCCCAGCTTCACCCACTGCATGTGCAGTTTAAGCACTCTTCCCTTTCATCAAAAATGTAGTCTGGTTTTAGTAAAGTAAAGACTAAAAAATAGAATGATTAGGCAGAGGTTTGCAAACTTTTTAACCTTTGACCGCATGTATAACAAAGACTTAGGTTGATCTCAGTTTCAATTCTTTCAATTCTTTATTAATTTCATTAAAACAAAACAAAAAATTATATAAAATATACAATAAAAAATATATAAAAAGAAAAATGAGAGAAAAACATACGTATATAAATGAAAGGCAGCAGAGAGAAGATAAAAATCTTATAAATAGAAGAAAAAAATCGTATAAACTCAAATACGTATTATGCTGTTTTCCCCATTTATGACTTATTATCATCTTTGTGACAACTGTAGTGAAAATATACTGATATAAATTATTATTTATTTTATTTTGATTTCAAGTACCCCAACCTGTGACCCAAAGTGGAGTCCGAACCCCAATTTAGGGAACCACAGAATAGATGGTTAACCAATGACAAAAACTGCAAATATTCAAATTAGTCCTGATTTTAGGACCCATCAAAATAAAGCATTTAAACATTTAATTAAAAAAAAACTTTACACTAGAAAAGCTAAACATAACGCATCTGTTTAGAAATAGTTTCCCTGTTGTTTTAAACAATCTATTAAACAGGGTGTTAGTTGGTTTCATGGATAAAAATGCAGGGAACCAGAGGTGATAATGAAAACTCATTATAGTGTCACAACTGAATGCTGCAGAAACGTTAGTGTAGCAACTTTTTATAAATCTTCCCTGTCTGATCAATTACTGCTTGTCAATGCTTTAAAAGGTAAGTTTTAATTAGTAAAATGATTTTTTTAAAGTGGCTGAAAAAGTGAAACATTATTTGCATAAATGCTTATGTGCATGGATGCAGTTAATCCCAAATGTTTGGGATTGAACCTGTTTGAGTGATTATAAACCCTCTGACATCACAGCAGCTTAACACCAGTGTAAATCTCAACAGAAACGCTGAACATCGCTGCCAATGACAGCAGCATCTTTAGCCAACTAGTAGTTACACATCTGTGTTTGTCGAAACCAATAAAAGTCCACTTGGCCTCAGAAAAACCTGGCAATGATTGGCGTGTTATGCAAGCCTGTCTGATCATGTATTTGGACGTAAAAACAGGGGTTACTACTCTCAGATGTACTTGCATGGTTTTAAAATCAAATCTACATAATAGATTTTTCTCTTTCATTGAAAGTATAGTTAAACATTTTATATTTCTGCACACAATGGAAGAATATTTTAAGCTTTTACTGATTTTGGGAACAAACCACAGATAAAAGTTGATAGTGTCTGTGACAGTACAGTTTGTAGTATTAGTTGGGTCTGCTTTAAAACTGTGTGGCAGATCRAATTTGTTTATGTATATAATAAAACTGCATGCTGGTCTGTGTGTGTGCCAGACAGAAACATTAGACTACATTGATTTGTTGCTAGAAAATAATGTATATGTTTGAGTAAAGAGAAGAATAGATGATGTTCATGAATATTTTAATATATGTGCATGTATCGTGTATGCTGTCAGCCACAGTTAAAATTTACAATTTGACATTTTTCATTTCTGGACCTGCTGTAGTGAGGACAGAYGATACACAAGTTGTTGTCTGACAGTGATGATTATTTTATACTCGACTCCAAGGCTTCAGTGTTCCCTTTATGCATGTGGAAAGTACATGTATGTACATGCATACAACTCACTATCAAGAGCCTATAAGTCCCATAGAATGTCATTTTGATGTGAGATTTTGGATTTCAAGCATGAATGGTGAAGAAAAAAATACACAGTGCCTAAAATTTGACATCATCAAAAGAATATTCTAAGGCAAGGCGTGTTGCTGTTTGTTGATAGATCTCATATCGTTTAAATAAGCCTCACTAATTAGGCAAAAAACATGTTCAAAGTAAACCAATATTCTCAGATGTGACTTAATAAATGCAAATAATTAATATAAAACAAATTTGCATAGAAAGGCTAAAGTTTATTTTAATGAAAATGTAGGGGTCTGGAAATTGCAGTAAAATGATGCATTTGTATAACAACTCAGGGCCACAGCATTCAAGAGAAAATTAGCTTGGATTCAGAGCAGTGTAATGAAAACATGATTTTTTTTTTCAAGACAATATCTATTCAAGAGTAAATTGTTGTTACTGATTACTGCCATACGGATAACAAGGAATCAAACATATCATTGGTGTTAGTCTCAGAGAGGGAAAGAGAGAGAGAGATCCAGACTGAACGACTGAACTCTAAAGTGTTTTTACCAGATGTCAAAAATAAATATTGCCAGTGCTCTGTTTCCTTTGCTGATTTACAGTAGATAGTAAAAAACACAAAAAAAGCAGTAGGCCTATAACTAGCTAGTCAAATGCTAATGAAAAAATGGTATTGCTTTTAAAATTTGGTTCACCAGAATAGTTTGAAAAACAAAWGAAACTGGCCTTGATAAAAAGGAAAGTACCCTTAACGTAATATTTTGTTGGACAACCTTTCGAGCCGATCACTCCAGTCAAGTGACTTCTGTAACCCTCTCAGACTCCTGCACCTGCCCACATGCAGTTTGGCCCACTCCACAAACTGCTCCAGCTGTTTCAGGTTTCTAAGTGTGCCTTCTCCAAACTGCATGTTTCAGCTCTTTTTTACAGATGGTCAGTAGGATTTAGACTGGAGCTCAAACCGCCACTTCAGAATAGTCGAGTGTTTTGTTCCTCGCTTTTCCTGGGTGTTTTTAGCTGTRTGTTTTGGCTCATTATCCTCKTGGAGGACATAACCTTCGCCTGAGACCAAGCTTGCTGACACTGGGCAGCACATTTCACTTCAGGATTGTCATGAGATTTCTTTGTACCCTGCACAGATTTAAGACCTCATGTGCCCGATGCAGCAAAGCAGCCCTAAAACATAACCAAGCCATGTTTCATTTTARGTAGTGCTCTTTTTTTGTACGTTTCATTATTTTGGCCTGTGAACACTGAGCTGGTGTGACTTGTTGCCAAAAAGCTCCAAACTCACACACATTTAAGTGCAGTACTTAATGTGTATAAAATGTTGCCACCACACCTTAAGTCTCGGCCAGTGTAGATCTGTCTAAAAGATTTGACTCAGTTGCTGTATTATGCCACACTCCATTGCTTTCTATGCCTTCATTTTCACAAACCAGATCAGATTTATTGTCCCCATTGTTCAAGTGTATTAACTGGAAGAGACATGATTAAAAATGAATCGCATCTCTCTTTGCTCTTCTGCTCATTTTTATTTTCCAAATATGAACCATCATTCTTTGGAAAATGAGATTTGGAAGAGCAAACATGCACCTTCCTCTCCTCCACCACTGAACTCACTCCCTCTGTGTGTCATTTATCTATAATGACTTTGTGAATAGTGTTACAGAGTGCTCCTGTCTCTCTCCCCCCTCCTCTCTCTCTCTCTCTCACACACACACACACACACACACACACACACACACACACACACACCCTCACCACGATATTAAGTCACTCACTAGTCAGTCACTCACTCAGCTTCCCCAATCAAGTGGCTTTTAATGAACTTCAAACAAGTGTTATCACACAGTTCAACGTGCGCCATGCTTCAACCCTCCTCACTCTCTTCTCCCCAGCTATATCCGTGAGGGGGCTCCTCTTATCTGCTCTCTTTCTTTTCACYCTCACTCCTCTTCTCTCTTTGACATACTAAAGCTTCCCCTGCCACATATTCTTAATGATGTTTTTGCCTCTTTCAGTTCCTCTGTTCTTTTGTTGTTCCTCTCTTTCATCCCCCCCCGTTTTGCTGTCTCGTCCTATCTACCTCTCTTTGGCAAAAACATGAAACACTTCGCAAAGTGCTCAGGAAAGCACTGTTCTCTGTTGGCTGTCTTTACCCTGCTTTGTCAACGTCTCCACCTTTAACTTCTGTCAAACAGTGTGTTTCCCAAAGTCTCTGGTCATTTCTCTTTCTGTTCTTTTCTCATATTTTATGTTTTCACCTGTTCTCTTTCCTCTCCTCACCTTTCATCCAAATCATCTGCATTKAAGCACTACTTACATTCAAATTGATTGGGTGTTAATTTCACATCTTTTAGTGATTTGTGGCTCACTCTCTTTTTGTCATTCAGTTTTCTTTTGGTACATTTAATTCATTTAATCAAAGCTTTTTGTTTATAGATTCTAAATTTTAAAAATAAATAAACATTAAAAAAAACTTAAATATACAAATAAAAACTCAGGTCATTATAAGAGTCCTGTTCATTGTGTAAYTGATCCTCCCATTCTAAAAGTAATGACAGTGGAGTGCCTACTGAACTGGCTCTTCACTCACCAAATGTGAACAGCTACTGAGACTGTGTAAGAGATCCATCTTATCCCAGCTGAAAATATCACAAATGAAGTGCTGACTAAAAACAGTATGCTGTTAAGTGGTTATCTCATTAAAATCAATTGTTTGTGAAGTACTGTAGGCTTCCCTGATGAGATGAATTATGAGCATGTTGACATCTGTGAACTGGTCCTGTGTCTGTCAGCTGTTAATTGTTTTTGTCCTGCATGAAGAGGTTACTGATACTCTTAAAATGCACTTTTAAAAATAGTTTTATTGGTTACAGCACAGTTCCTTAGTTTTAGGAATATTTTGGTACTGGACAGCCTCAGACTGCACAATAAAAAGCGTGCGTTTAAACTGATTTAACTTGTAACTGGTTAAAGAATAATGGGCCTCATGCAAGAACATGTTCTTATTCTTATCCTAAATTTCTCTTACTTTTGTTCGTACAAAGGGTTCGTACGAACATG